AATGAGGGGAAGCGTGGGCCTGAGTGCGTCTCATGGTAAACAAGATAGCCGGAAGTGTCGGTTGGAAATGAGGCCAACCGCCCTGCCGGCTCCTCTGGTGCCGGGCCTTCGCTGCTCGGGAATGACGCAGCAGAACTTCTGACTGCACGTGTGAAGGGGTGAGCGCGCAGCAGTGGGCCACGCGGGGAAAATCCAGAAAAGGAATACTTAGCCAAAGCGTGCCTCTGCGTGGTGTGTGTGCATGTACGTACATGTGTGTACATGTGCGCACGTGTGTATGTGTGTGCGCATGTATGTGAGTGTGCATGTGTGTGCATCTATGTGCATATGTGTACTTTTGTGCACACACTTGTGTGCATGTGCATGTGCATGTGTGTGCGTGTGTGCGTGTGCATGCACATGTGTGTGTGCATGACCACATGACAAGCAAGCAAGAGAGACAGAGAAGGGAGAGAAGCCCTGGCTCCGAGTGCTCTAAGTTAACATGCTGCCCACAGTCAGTCTTGGCTCCTTTCGGTGGAGCCCTGGCACCGGAGCTGCTTCCTGGCAGTGCCTTGTGTGACCCCGAACACAATAGCATGGGAAGAAATATATGATAGGTTTCGGGGTCCTTGAATGCGTCTTAAATCAAGTTATAATAAAGAGCAGGGATGCAAGCAGCAACCCTGGCATTATTTTAATTCACCTACTGGAAAATTGTTGAAGCATATTTCACATAATTAGGGTCAAGAATGGATTTGGCGTCGCATAGGGCAAATGGGCCAAGCCCAAAGCCAACTCAGCTGGCATGGTTTCGAGTTTTGAGAACAGCTAGTCTGGCGACCATTAATCAGGCAACAGGAAGTAGTAAAGAGACCACTGTTTGGCTCTGCTCTGGCCAGCTGGGGAGAGAATTGTGGAACTCCAGCAAGAAGCAATGGAAGGGGCGGCTGGGATGGAGTGCATCGCCGTGGGCCTCAGGCATGCCTCCGGAATGGCTCGGGAAGCTTTGTGAACGCGCCCTAATCGCGCAGCGCGCCAGGCAAACAGAGTCCTCATTTGGCCAGTGCCAGGGCTTCTGGGAGCTGGGCCTCTCTGAGACCCTACCAGGTGTCCTGGAATAAATTGTCCCAGAGTGAATTGCTGAGAGACAGGGGAAAACGAAAAGCCACAGCAGAGGGGAGGAAAAAAGGAAAAAGAACAAAGAAAGCAACACCGTCGCAAACACAACTGGTGGGCACAGCAGGGCTGGGAGCAGAAACAAGCAGCCCCGTGTGGACGTGTTCTTTGTGGCACTGAGCTCTGTGCCAGAGTGGTGTGGCGAAGCCCTCATGCCAGGCTGTCCGTGCTCTCAGGTGCAGCTTCCAGGGAGGTGGCTGCCCAGGGGGACATCGAGGCCTCAGCGCGGTGACAGCTTGTAGTGGAGGCTGTGGAGCCAGAGTCAAGAGGCGCAGCAGCGCCTAACATTGGTGCAGTCGCTTGGGGCCAGAGCAGCAGCCCTGCTCCAGGCTCATTCTGAGAGGAGCACGGGAAGCAGAGTGCCAAGCCCTCCACAGACAACAGTGCAGGGAGGCGGAGGGACAGGCCTGGGACCCTGCGCCATCACCGCTCTACCAAGATGGAGTCACTTGGGTCCAGGGAGGACGATGGTGGACCCAGATTCCCCCAGTCTTGGCCCTGCGCCGTCTGTAGTGTGCCGCTTTGTCTACATGGCCTGAGGCTCCATGCCCTCCCTGCACAAGGAATGGAGAAGGGCCAGGGACTGACTCCTCCAGCCCTGCAAGAACAAGCTGGAAGCTCCACGCATGGCTTCTCCTTGTGCCCACCGGTCTGGAAGCGGTCCTGCAGTCACCCTGGGGTGGGGAAGTGACAAGCTCCTTCCTCATGGGTAGCTATGTGTCCATCCAAGAATTCTGCTTCTATGGCAGCAGGATAGAGGTGGTGTGGAGAAGCACGGTGGTGGCACATGCGCCTGTGGCAATCACTGACCATGTCCTGACTGTAGGTAGAAGTCTCCTGCTGCACGCCTCCTCCTGGGGGCCCCTGCGCTGTGCTCCATGCACGCCCCAGGCCTCCTCTCTGCCCCTCGCCTTTCCAAGCCCCGCAGCCTTGTGCCCCCACTCGACGCCTCTTCTCGTTCTCTTCCTCTCATGTCCTCTTTTGTCCTTGGATCAGAGAAACTTAAAAACAGGGAGACCTTGCAGGAACATCTGGGAAGCATCTTCTCTGGGCGGCGTTCACATTACTTTGACTCTTAAAGCAATTGCCGCCCTACAGCCAGTGGGGGCGATAAGACCCTTCTAGAAGGGAAGTGGCTTCAGCAATTCCTTGCACTCTGTGCTCAAAATGACCAAATACATAATTTCAAACCTCACAAGTCAAGATCCACTTTGCTCTGGGCAGCAGTGACACTGATGCACATGTCAGAGACAGGTACACAAAGGACAAGGGCCAGACCAAGCATAGTGACAACCGGGGCTCACATACAACCCCACGGAAGCCAAACCAGACCCAGAAGCAAGTGGACCAGAGCAGCCAGGATGTGGTCGGTAATTCCCAGCTTCCCTATTTTCTTCCAACTCAGGACCAACTAGAGAAGGCCAAATATGCTCCCCTAAAGCACGTCCCATGGACCCTCCCTCTAGTTAGCCCAGCATGACAGCGCCCTCCCAGCAGGTCCCCCAAGGCCTCCCCATTTCCCTCGCTGCTGCCGAGCATTCCCTGCCTCTGCCGGCCCCCCACTCGCTGCCCAGAGGCCATGATGCGCTGGGCCTGCTGCAGCAAGTTCACTGAAAACCTGCTGGCTTTCACTTCGATGGTCTTTATTTATTCGCACGCTTGCAAAACGCTCACTGAGCTGAATACTGAAAATCGATGCCCTTTGATTACTGTATTTATCTTACTCATCAAAAAAACAACGAAAGAAAAAATTAGAACTGGTGAGAGAAAAGCCAAGTACTTGGCAAAGAAAAGTAAGTGCGGCCAGTCCCGCCAGGCCTGCCGCCCATCCTGCCAGGCAGCGAGGTAGCTACGACACAGTGCTCCTGCTCCAGCTTCGCTGGAATGCCGCAGGCTGACTTGGGGTGCTGAAAATGAAGAGCAGATGAAAGCAGCCGGGAAAGCCCCGCCTCCGGAGCTGCGGGGACCCTGTCCCATTCCCCAGCCTCTGGCCAAGTCTGCTGGCATTTCTATCAACAGACACGCACCTGCTTCTCCTCCACGTCTCTGGAGTGATGCGGCTCTGTGTGACCTATTTCATCTTAATGCTTCACTGGCCCTGCCCAGTGCTTCTCTGAGACCTACTAGGGGGACCATCTTCCATCCTACACCAGCACCCCAGAAAGTCTCAGAACCCATAAGGAACATTCTTCAGTTCTCTGCCATCAGGCAGTGGCCTGCAGTTCACAAATTAAACCCAGAGAGTCAGAAGATAAAGAATTCCCCAATAAAGCAATACGGGGGCTGGGGAGATGGCTCAGTAGAATAAGCACTTGCCTGGCAAGTGCAAGGTTCTGAGTTCAATCCCAGGCACCACGAAAAAAGAAAAAGAAAAGAAAGAAAGAAAAAAGAAAAAAACCTAATATGGATTTTTAAAGATATGTTGAAGAATTTAATTCAGCGTAGTCCTAGGACCTTCTCATACTGTTTTGGCTGAGTTTTCGACATAGGGTTGTGTGAGTTATTCAATATTTAAAGAGATCAAATGTAGCAAGTTAGGCTGAGGCTCAGGGCTATGGCTAGACACAGTGATAAGTCATGGAATCCACGAGGCTGTTGCAACAGAACTGGACCATTCTCTTGATTCCCAAGTGGAATTGGAGGTGCCACGGGTGAGCCTTTCAGTTTGTTCTGCAGCATGAGTGAGGGATGTGGGTGGAATCCACTAGAATAAAGCATCCCGAGTGGAGGGCTGGACACTGAGCGGAGGACCCCCTAGGGCTTGCGTCCAGGTTCGCAGTTTTCACGGGGAGCCTGCAGGACGGCCAGCGAATGGGAGGTGGTCACACACAGACATGTGCATGGGAGCTCAACGTTCAGCTTGCGCACAGAACGAAGTGACGACCCACAGGCCTGTGCGGGCAGGGGCATCACCCTCCGAGGCAGCATCACCCGCTACATGTCCACGGGCCCTTCCTTGCTTTCTTAATCCTGGCTGAGGGAGACAGTTCTGTTATATCTCCCACTTAAGACTGTCTGTGGGTGTCCTGTCCCGGCACCAGACATGGAGGCAGGCCAACCACTGCCTCCTGTTACAGTCTGTGCTTAGATGTCCCCCAACCGCATGTGCCCATAGGGCTTTCAGAGGTGGCAGGATCTAGGGTGTAAGCGGGTGTGATTAGGCAATCAGCCGGCTGCCCGGCCTGACATAGTTCTGGCTAGGACTAGGTGTGGGTGCTGCACTGGCCCTGCAGCAGGGAGCCTGCATGGTACAGGGGGCAGGAAGAGGCCCGCCTCCCCCTTGCTTGCCTTTGCTGCCTTCTGCCTGCCACAAACAGTTGCCCCCGGCCCTCCTGTTATGTGTTCCAGCCCATAACAGGAGCCAGCCAGTTATGGGCTGGAACCTACACACTGTGAGCTACCATAAGCCTCTTCTCTTTTTAACTTTGAGTGTCGAGTATTTTGTCTCAGCAGTGAGAAAAGTAACTAAGACTCCTCCTGACGGGCTTCCTGTCCACCCCTCCCAGCTCCTCCTAGACTCTCACCCTGGAGCCTCACCCGCTGTCGCCACCAGCCCTTCCCCCATTCTGCTCTCCGCTGGTCGGCCTCCGTGTGCCTGGCCCAGGGCAGGCAGCTGTGCCCTCCTTTCCTGCCCAGGTGCCCCCAGCTGCCCCTCAGAGCTCTGCAGCCCGATGTCCCATGTCCCCCTCTCCCCGGGCCCCAGTGGCAACCTCACTTCCCCAGTCATGACCAGGAGCCACCATGCCCAGTCTTACTCTCTGACCAGTGCTGCTTTTTTTGGTCCTTCAACAAATGTTTTCACTCTGAGACGTAACATAAAATTCAAGTGAAGACCCAGGTCCTCCATGAAATCATAAGGTTTATTGATGCCATCAGAGAGCTAAGGTCACAAGGAACCCAAGTGAAGTAAATTCCAGAGGTGACAAATCTTTTGGGGAGACGTGAGATGCAAGAACTGGCTCCCTTTTGGTAGGACATGGAAGGAAGTCAAGGTTACAAAAGTGCACAGTCCACACAAAGCTTAACACAGCACTGAGGGAGAAACTGGCCAGATCACCAGGACGGCACGCAGCTTCCCGCGGCCCCTCTCCTGGTGTAGCTGCTCTGCTGGGCTTCAGAGGAAAGACACCGGGTTATTTATCCTTTGATTACTAAAGTTCAATTTGATTACAGCTCAGTCTGCCTTTTTAAGGACTTTATTAAATGGGATCCTACAACAGCCCCTTTGCAGGACCTGGCATCTCGCACTCGGTGTGGGCCTGAGAAATCCCTCCGCGCTGCTCGGAGCCATGGAACTTTGCCCTGGCCCCTCTCACCTCCCAGGTCTGTCCCAGCCAGCCCTCAGGCCCACCCGCCACATGTGTGCCTGTGGTAAGGTCCAGTGTGGGCGCGCTCCTCCAGGACACCTGTGTGCAGCCTGCGTCCCAGCCACCGCCCCTGCCCGCAGCTCCCCTGCCGCTCTCAAGCTGCCTGCCTGTCCGACAGTTCCCGCCCAGTGCTGCCCTGCACGCTGCAGCTCTTGCTAAGGTTTGGACTCTGGTAGAGTGTGTTCTCAACACCCACCAGCTGGCCCACTTTATTGATGCCGGTCCCTGCAGACGGCATGGCAGCACGCGCTGCCCACAGGAAGGGACTGTGTGTGTCCCGGGCTCCGCTGGGCCCCTGTAGGTCGGAGCCTGGTGCTGCAGCCCGAATGTGTATCTCTCAGTGCTTCCCAGAGAAACAGACTCAATGCAAGATGTACAAACATACAAGAATTTACAAGGTTGGTTCACAATGGCCTCCCGCAGAGTCGGACGTGGAAGGTGCAAGGGGGCCGTCCATGCGACGAGAGCCGGAGGCCCCAGTGGAGGCCTGCGCTGGCTGTGGGGTTCACATCAGGAGGTGGAAGGCTCGGCGCTGGAAGCCAGGAGAGGACGGCCGAGGTGGAGGTGAAGGCTGGAGCTCCCCTCTGAAGAAGCAGACGCAGTCTTCCTTCCTGTCTCCCTTTTATTCCTTTCGGGTGGCAAGCCTGTCTGTCGCTGTCACTCACACCAGGGCGGGTCTTCCGTCTTCAGGGAGCCCCTCAATCACATCCAGAGCTCTGCTGATCCAGTTAGTTGGGCCTTTCCTACTCCGGTGGGGACACAGAATGTGCCCCAGATGTCCAAGTGTTGAAGACTGAGCCCCCGCATTCGTATACCAGGGGCATATGGGGGTGGGGCCTCCCGAGGGAGAGAGGGAGGGTCTGATGACGTCACGAGGGCAGGGCCCCCCTCTGGGCACTGGGGTCTTTCTAAGAAGCGCCTGAGCTTGCTGCCTCGCTCTCTCACCCTGCGGTAACGTCTGCCGCGGTACAAGGCCAGGAGCAGCTCTTCAGACGCGGCCGGCCCTGGCGCTGTCTCGTGCACTTCCGGCTCCCACACCCGGAGCCACGGAAACTTCTATGCATTGTAAATAAGCTGGCCTCAGCTCTTTGGGCTGGGACCGAAGCCTGGCCAGTGCCTTTGCGTGCTTGCCCGCAGTCGTGGTCCGGTAGGGCCGCGCAGGCAGGAGAAGCAAGGCCGGCCGCGCAGCCGTGGGCTCGGCTCTCCCGCCTACCTCCGCGTATTTCTAGAGACGTGATACACAGCACGTCTGCTCTTCGAGCTTCTTATTGTTTGGATTTGGGGTAAACATCAGTTTCCTCTCTGGCTCTCTTGGATCAAGCAAGCTGCTGTGAGTTATTTCAGTTCGAGGGAAAACGGGACGAGGCCTAGGACGCTTGCGTTTGGAGCAGTGGAAAAGGGAGAGATGAAAAACGATGTTGAACATTTTCAGTGAAACGCGGTGGGAGGGGTGTGAGCAAGCCACCGTGCGCCCTGAAGGGACTCAAGGGTGCAGAGCGAAGGGGAGGACGTGCACAGGCGACGCAAGAGCCGGCACCCAGGCCCCGCGACAGCAGCCAGCGCTGAATCTGTCCTGAGCCTCGCGGGACCCCGCTGCCTAGGAGCAGCTGTGGCTTGGGTTGCGAGTCCATTATCTCTCTGTTACTGTTTGTGCTCTGGAGTCTGGGAGTGGAAAACACCTGTAGGCTGCAGGAGGAGGGGGAGAGAGAGGGGCCAGGGACGCAGAGGAGGAGGGCGGTGCAGAAGAGGAGGGGAGTGGGGAGGGGAGGAGGGACAACAACCGATGTCCACCAAAAAGACAGCAAAACAAATGAACAGTCACCACCAAACTGCTAAGGGCAGTTACCACTAACAGATGAGTTACGGTGGGCGGTCAGAAGGGCTGTCCTCGTATATCGTAACTTTCTGAACTTCTGCAGTTCTTTATAAAAGACCAAGCATGTAGCAAAGGAAACAGAGGAACACGGTAAACTATTTCTTGGCCAACATGAAGACACCCAGCCTCTCCCACCTCCCTGTACAAGGTTAGAGCTAGGGTTGGAAGCAGGGCTTGGGCGCCCCACCGGAAACGTCTCCCCTGTGCCCACTCTTCTCCGGGCCTCCTCTCTCTGCAGCCCAGAGACAGTGTGCCCCTCCCCCCAAACTTCCCATAGATTATCCCACCCCATCAGCACTGGGTTCGCCTCTGCTGCTGTCATGTGTGACAGATTAATTCATGATGAAGTATTCAGGCTTTAATTTCCTGCATATATTTCGTCCAGAAACAAGCCTTGGGAGTTATGTGCACGTTCTAGCATTTAATCTAATAGCCCAGCTTCTTGGCGTACATTCCAAAGAGGTCACCGAAAGAGGTGGTTCGCATGATTGCTGACCCCCGATCCCCATGCCACCGCTCTGCTGGCAGCGTCAGCCAGGACGGCTGAGACCCCTCCACAGCCTGCTCCCTTGCATCCTCTCCCCAGTCAGCCCCGGGTGCCTAGGCCTGCCCCGGGGTCGGCCTCTGGAGGATCAGGGAGCAGAAGAGCAGAACGTGGCTGCCCTTCTCCCCGTGCTCGTTGCCTCCTCAATTCATTGCCGTGTCTGCATCGCGATAATTAAATGTCTTGATATTTTTTATGTCTCAATTTTTTAAGTCTTATATTTCAAAGTAGAAAGCAAATACGCAGCAAATACACACCTCCAAATAAAGCATTGTTCTTTCATGCAGGACCCTCTGGATTTCACTTTGGAAGGTCAGTCCAGGAAATACGACTTTTGTCAGGCCTAGAACCAGATGTACAAGATGGAGACCTCTCTCTAGTCAGGTAAAGGCTCATGCCCTTTCTTTAGAATTTGGCTCCTTACTGAAAGTAACCCAATCTCCAATCAGAACACCACTAAAAACTAGGTCCCTGTTATTTCTTACTAAACTACAGGGTGCTGAGCTGTTTGGAGCCATCCAACGTCCATGGTAGCCAATGTGCTTTTGAATTGCATGACAAGGAGGGAGAATTTGAGGTGCTGGAGATCAGCTGAGCAGAAAAGCTGAAGGTGCAGGGCCTCTGAGATGATAGGGGTGGGGTGGGGTGGGGTGGAGCTGTGCTGGGGGGAGGTCACCTCTGTGCCGTGAGGAGGGTGCAAGGAGCAAGCAGGGGGCCGAAGCTGCCCTGAGATGCAGTTGCCCTATTGGTCAAGGACATTTGCTTGTAGGCAACAAACCCACATTTTGTCTAACAGTCTCAAAACCAAGATTACTGACTGGAGAAAGAGCCATAGAATTCTAGGGAAGTTGTACAGCCAGCTTGGACACAGGTGTGAAGGCAGCTTGGTGTGAGGTGCTCAGAGGAAGGGCCGCTGGAGGGGGTCCCACAGGGCAAAGCTGCGGTCAGCTGTGTCTCCTTGTGTTCCAGCAGAGAGGGTCACAGAGGACACAGGAGGGCCGCACTTCTGCCTCTGAGCATGTGCAGACTGTCACAGCAGGGATCTGTCTCTCCTGTCAATGGAGTCACTGTTCCAACAGGCAGAGTCCCCCTGGAACCTGAGGCACCCTCAGAAGCAGCAGGGGAAGGCTTCCTGGGGGAGGCTGCTCTAAGCACTGAGGGCCAGAAGAGGCAGCAGAGGGGAGTGGGCAGCTGGCGAAGGCTCTGCCCAGAGCACAGTGCCCACATCCAAGTGCTGCAGGGCCGGAGCGGTTTCAGAAGCAGTAAGACCATAATTCCTCATTGGAATCCGCTCTTTATTCTCAAAGAAGTCATTCAGTGGATGGCACAATCCCAGGCAATGATGTAAGTCAGCACACGAAGACTTGGATGGGAAATCTCATCTCCTACACCGAGTGTGAGTGGAGCTTCGATAGCAGGGGCCAGGCACCGAGGCCAGCAGCACCGTGTCGAAGGGCACCAGTTGTCAGCCAGCTCCGGGCAGGGGTGGTCGGAAGAACCCTTTCTGCAGTGCCCAGGCAAGAAGCTGCAGAGCAAGAGGTGGGCTGGGACAGAAAGCTGCTGTCATCTGGAGAGAGCAGCTGTGAAGGCACAGGAGGCAGCAGGCATGGCTGGGAGGGAAGGAGCCCAGGGACAGCCCCTGCAGGTAGCACAGCCCAGAGCCTCTGAGTCCCATCACATATTCAGAGATGAGAGGACGGGATCCAGCCCATCTCCACCGCTCTCTGACTGGTCAACCCTGGACATTAGTTCACCTCTCCTGGTCCCACTGGGGGTCCTTTCCTACTCTCCCTCTGGACACCCCTCTAGTCCCTCCAGTCCAGGAAGACCTCTGGTCTCAGTTTGGGGGTAATCCTTTCCTTCCTTCCCAGGCAATAAGGGGGCAGGTGCCTACCCTGTATCAGTCCAATAGAAGAGTCACTGGTTCCTTGGAGCTCAACCCCAAGCCCAGGGGGCCACACTGGTCTACAACACAGAGTTGAGGAGTGCAGCCTCCGATGGATGGATGGCTGAGATGAGAGATGGACAGAAAGCAAGTCCTACTGCTGCACCTGGCCATTAGATCAAGCCAGACCTGAAGCCAACCAGAGGCCTCTGGGTTTTCCCAGTATGTGTGACGTCCTACACTGGTTGCCAGGACCAGCTCAGGAACTAATAGAAACCAGTTCCACAGATACTGAGCACTAGGGTGATCATCGTGACCCGAGGGCCAGATCTTGGCTGGTGACGCCTTTCAGACGCACTGGGTCCTCTGAGCAACTGCCCCTCCCCCCCCACCCCTGGAGCAGGTTGAGTAGCTGAGAACTATCTTGGCTTCCAGAAGCAGGGCGGGTGCCTTGTGCAGTGGGAGATGCGGGGGAGGGTGCTCAGCTGCACCAGCACAGCCTGCAGGTGTGCGCTAGCTCTGTGCCAGCCCGCCTCTGGCACAGGTAGTGGGGGTGGGGAGCCTATGGGACGGCCATGAAGGACTTGGGGACAGCTGAGAAAGGAGCCTCGCGGCAGCCACACCCACCAACGCGAGGGCAGTGACAAGCAATATGGAATGCAGGCTGTTTGGGGGGCACCAGCCCCACCGGAGGGGCCCTCGGATGCCCACTGCCATCTGAGCGACTGCAGCACTGACAGCCCAAGCACCCAAGGGCTGTGGTTGGCCTGTGCTGTGGCGCCTCAGGGTCACACAGGGTGCAGCCTGCTGGCCTGAGTACAAGCAGCTGTAAAGTACAGGCCAGCGGCTTAGCCTCTGTGCCTCAGTTTCCCCTCTGTGAAATACAGATGACAATGGCTTCCTGCTTTGCCAGGAGGATTAAGTAACTTCTAGGAGGCCTACGGCGGCCTGATTGTAGTGAGAGCTGTGGCTTGGGAGCCCCATCTGCAGCTGCCCGGCCCAGCTGGGCTCTGCACCAGATCTTTGGGCACCCAGTCCAGCTCTGACCCAGCCAGGACCTGCAGGTAATGTTCACACACTCTGCTGTGGCTGCTGCGGGCACACCCCACCCCGGATCCCCGAGTGCCGAGTGGAATCTCTGCCAGGCGCTCCTCTGAGTGTCCCTTCTCTACACACTGGGCAGCTGGCCCTCACGACAGGATGTGTAGACACTCCCACTCCACTGGCACAAGTGCAGACAGCTGAGCAAACGAAGAGAGGCCTGCAGCGTGATTGCTGGTTTCGGATGCCCCTCTTGTTTTTGGCTGTTCTGGGTGCACGCTGGGGACCTGCTGAACACTTGACCTGACTTTCACGGTGGCAAGATTCAAGTCATCTCCACCCACTGGGGGTGAGCGAGGCAGGGCTTGGGCATGTGGTTTCAAGAAACGAAGCGTTCTTGTATCTTGTGGACCCACCTTATCACAAGCCTCAGGACAATGCAGGGATGACATGAGATCCAGTCCCCCCAGTTTCTCATTTTTTGAGGAGGTTTGTCCTCCAGGCTATGGGGGGAGGGATTTGAGACTGAGCCCAGACATTGGTCACCTGAATAATTCTCCATTCAATTTTGCATAAGGACAAGTGCCAGGCAAGATGAGACAAATGGTCCCTTGGCTGTGGCAGCAGCTCTTAGGTTAGCTGCTTGAGCGTCCTTCTAAATGAGCACCAGCCTTTGCTCAGGCCTCCTTCTGAGACAGGGCCACTGGGTGAGGGGCACCCCCAGGGCAGGGGCGTTTCTCGGGTGAGGAACACTCCCAAGGAGAAGGACACTTCCTGTCTAGCACTGCCATCAGCACTGTACAAAGAACCAATCGGAAGAATGCTATTTGGAGCAATGAGAAAGTGCTATTTTCAGTTCTTCATTTGAATCAGGATGTAGTTCACTGGACCAATCAGAAGATACTGGCCTCAATCCTTCATTTACATATGGGTGTGGCCAATCATGAGATGCTGATTTTGATCCTTCATTTACATGTAACAGGAAGCCAAGTGAGTTTGTTGATAGGACAGTTTACTCATGGTGTGATGCCCAGCAAGTGTTTGATAGGATGGCATTTCCAAAGCCTTATTTACATAAAAGAGAGAACCCGGGAATCTTGGATACCAAAGAGCCCTTCCCCTCTCCTCAGGGTGCTGTGAGCCTTTGCCCCTCTACTTTCACTCTGCAGGGTGAACTTCTTTTCCACCCTCGATACAGGCGGCATGCCTTTGCTGCCTCTCCAGTGCGTCTTGTCAGGTGCTGAGTTGGAGACGCAAAGGCTGTGGAAAAAGCCTCAAGGACCTCCATCTGATGACACTTCTGATCCATCCTTCTGAGGCCATACAAGGGATTTTGAAATATAAATATGGTATCTCC